CCCAACCGTGTCCAGCTGAGCCAAACCCTGCTGCAGCCGATTGTGGTGCTGGCACCACGGCATTCCCATGCACAGCTCCCTCCAGGAGAGCTGCAGCACATTCCCACCCATCCACACGTCTCTGTCCTGGCCTTCCCTGTCTCCCAGCAGCTCTGTCACCCCTACCTGAGTCCCCCAGGCTGGGGCTGAAGGCATGGCCAAGGGTGAGACCCAAGGAACGCCGCGGTGAAGAGGAGGCCGATGAGCTCGTGACATGGCCAGGAACGGAGCCTGGCACTTTGGGCCCCGGAGCCACTTTGAGCCGGTCGTTCTCAGCCTTTAGGAGATCCACCTCCAGCTGGGGAGAACCAGACACAGCGCAGGGTGAGGAGCAGCATCCCGGGGCTGCAGCGTGGCTGTGGGCACACAGGGTCTGCAGCCACTCAAGGTCCTCAGAGCCAGCTCCAGGCAGTGTCCTCACCTGCATGTTGTGCATGGTCTCCCGGAGCTGCTCCAGCTGGTGGGCTGAGTTGAGGGCTTCCAGGCGGATGTCCGTCAGCTTCATCTCCTTCTCCCACAGCTCTGACCGCAGCTCTGACACCTCCTTCTTCTCTGGCTCGCCCTCACCATGGGCCTGGAAGAGCCTGGACCAAGAGAGAGACAGAGTGGTGCACACATGCAGGGCAGGAGCCTGCAGCCCCTATGACCAGCCCTGCCTGGCCCCACGTACTCTGCTGTGTCGATGCCCACGGAGGAGGACGTGGAGGATTTGATGGAGGGCGAGGCGGTCTCCGTGGAGCCGTGCTGCAGCTTGGGGGAGGAGGGGGCCGACGAGTCCGGCGTGGCAATCTCCTCGATGTCGGAGTAGGAAGAGGCTGATTTTGGACCCTTCTTGATGCTGAAGGCCTTGTTGAAGGAGCTGCGCAGCTGTGGGAGACAGAAGTGCTTTTGTTAGACACAGCCCGACAGTGCAGCTTTGCAAGTCCAGGCCTGGTCCTGCCCTGAAACCCCCAACTGCCCCGGACCCGCAGACAGTCTGAACGGGGACCAGTAACCCCACATCCATCACCAAGCAGCACCGTGCCCTGTCGCTGACCTAGGGAGGGCACCAGCCTGACTCCACTCTGCTGGTGGACAGGGCTGCACATGTGCTTGTGCAACATCCCAGCCCCACACAGTGGGGCCCATGCCCTGGTCAGGCTCCCCCCAGCCCTGCTCCCCACCACCAGGGTGTTCAGGCACTGCATCTGCACCCTGGTCCCTCATGAAGGACCAGCTCCATCCTCACATTCACACAACCACCCAGCAAGTGGCATTTATAGGGACACCCCCTGCACCAGCCACTGCAGAGCTGGGGTCCTGGTGCAAGGGGACAGTTGCAGCCCTACAGCCCCCCTATGCCCTCAGGGTCCCCCTGGAAGCACAGAGGGGCAGCCAGCCCTCCCCGAGATGCTGCTGGGGTGCTGGCCGGGCATGCAGCATGCACAGAGCACACACAGCACAGGGGTGAGCAGCACACCGAGGGCAGGAGGGTGATGGACACTGCACAGGGGCCTGAGGGGAAGCAGCAGGACGGGCACCCCGGGCTCACACTGTGTCCCCTGGAGGGCCAGGGTCTGCTCCAAGGGGAGGAAGAAAAAGAGGGGGTGAAAATAGTCAGGATGTGGCCCAATTCCCACAGGCACCAGGCAGGCTGCTTCTAGGGTGTGCCCAAAAGCGATGCATTTCAGAGTGAAAACACAAAACCAGATGGCACATCAGGCAGGAGATGGCAGGAGAACAGGAGAGAACTGGGACCCACATGGATCCCCCAACAGAGACAAAGCCACTTAGTGCCAGATCAGGCCAGCCCTGGCAATGCAGAGATGGGCAGCGCCACATGCAGGGCTGCAGAGAGGTCCCTATCCCAAAAGATCCAGCTCCAGGGAGTCAGGAGCGGGCCTGCCTTCCCCGGGCAAGAAGGGGACTGTCCCCATCATGGGACACGTCACCATCCCAGCCCCTCCTGCTGCCTCAGGGCTGCCCAGGGCAGTTCAGCCCCTCCACGTGGGTGCATATTTTGGCTGTATCACCAAAGGAAGCAGCCAAGGTGTGCGCAGCCCAGCTGGGTCCCGGGATAGCCCATGCAGGGGTCAGAGGCAGTGGGATGGATGGGATGCGCAGTGTCATGAGCACCGTCCCGCAGGATGGAGCGAGGCCCTGGCCGGGCGCAGCGGGCGGTGGAGGGGACGGTGCAGGACTTACCTCGTACACCTGGAAAAAAAGGGTTGAGGTCAGCATAAGGGGAGAGAAACAGAACAAAGCGAGACTTAATCACACGTCCAGCTCGGAGCTGCCTGGTGCAGGGATGGGGCTGCCCGGCCCCCTGACAGCCAGAGCCTGCGCGGGCACAAAGGAGACATGTGGGAAAGGCCAAGGGAGCAGGCATGCAGGACCAGGGCTGGAGAACTCCAGAGGGGCTGGAGAAATCCTGGCCAACACATCGAGACACAGATCCATGGTGGCAACACGCTTCCAACCAGCGCTGTCCCCAGGGGACAGAGAAGACCAACACCACAATGCCAAGGTAGCCAAGAGCAGCCAGTTTGCGGGGCTGACCCCAACCAGACCCTGTCAGCAGCTCCCCAAGCCCCATCCCTCCTGCCAGCACCCCATCCAACCCACCCAGCTCTTCTTCTTCTTCTTCTTGGCGTCGGCATCCTTGCTGCTGCCGATGCTGGAGTGGCTGGTGATGCTGTTGAGGCTGGAGATGCTGTCGGAGGAGTTCTGCCTCTTGATACGCAGCTCTGTGGCCAGCAAGAGAAGCAGGAGAGATGGGGAAAGGAGCCATCAGCAAACTGCATCTGACCCAACACCAGAGCCACCCACACCCTCCTCCCTGTGCCCCTTCCTTTCTCCCACCCAAACGCCTTCTGAGCTCTCAGAGCCTTACCTTTAGGGGTGACATCAGTGCCGTTCAGGGCACCCTGGATCACAGCTTGGGCCTCCGAGTTCTTCTTCTTCAGGAAGTCAATGGTCTCCCGCAGGTCCAGCAGCTCTGTGTCCTGGGGGAGCAGATGGGAGCCATGGAGCACATCCCAACCATCCAGCACCCACCCCAAGATCACCCTTGGGTGCTGGGCAGTGCTGCAGCAGGTTCACCTGAGTCCAGCAACGGGCACCTTCTTGTACCCCCCAATGCCCATGGGGCACCCCAACAGCACCCACCTTCTCCTCAGCAGTCTCAGCCAAGTGCCGCAGGCGGGACGTCATGCTCACCAGGCTCTGCTCAAAAGCTGCTACCAGGTTGGCCTGGGAGAAGGGGAGCAAGGGGTGAGCAGCGATGCCCAGGCGAGCACCCAGGGGTAACCACGGCTGCGTCCGGCAGCGAGCAGGGACCCGGCGCGACGTGCCCTGCGGCGGGGACTCACGTTGGCGGAGAGCTGGGACGTCAGCGTGGCCACCTTCTCCTGCGAGGACTCCAGCTCGCGGCGCAGCTTGCGGA